CACTGAGTTCCCGTTTCAATTATCATGTCATCTCGCGTATCGTTTTTTTACGACCATAATAACCAGTTTCGGTCAATACGAAAGTAGAAACCCTGAATATGACAGGAAACTCAGGAAGAACTTGGAACTTGAGTAAAATTGCATACCCTGTTTATGACAAGAAGCTCGAAAAACCATACCCTGTTCAGCGGATCATCCCCGTATATATAGTCCATATTGCTTCCCCCTATATTCATCTCGGGTGCGTGTTTTTTTCAGTACGCTTTCGAAATTTGGTCTTAATTATTCATTTGTGAGTTATCTTTATTACTTATCTAGTGTGCTCTTTCTTATAGTTTTAATATGCTAGCTCGGAGTTAAAATTAATCGATAGTTGAAACTGAAGGATGATTGATATTTTCTTTAAATATAAATATTGCTGTATTTTTTCAAATTGCAGTCGAAGAATTTTCATCATGCAAAGAAGCGTTGGATAAAGGAAAGTAAGTTACACATGAATGTCGAGTCCAATATATTATTCAGATGATCTATTGACTATATTGGTTTGATTGCAGATCTAAAGGCAATGGAATCTACAATCTCAAGACMAACCAAACCTCAACCACTAAGACGYATTGTCACATGGRCAAGTTAACCAACTGCGGCGGTGGGGGATGGACGCTGACCATGAAGATCGATGGAACTAAGGTAAGCAATAGCTGCATGGGAAACCATGGTAACAGCAGCGTGACGTGCGGTTTTCTTATTTTCAGGACACGTTTGACTCAAAGTCCTCCTATTGGACAAACRGGCAAGCACTGAAGGCCGAGGAAGGACTGGGATYAGAAGACAGGGAGTCCAAGCTGCCAACTTATTGGTCAACCCCGCTGACCAAGATCTGTCTCGGGATGAAGATARACAATATTACCAATTGGTTAAAATTAGAATTACAGAAGCATGCTGCCTCGCTTCATGACGTCATATCCACAGGGCACCCAGCATACACTCATCTCGGGCTAGACAAATGGAAACATACCTTCATACCAAATATTCGAGGCCAAAAGATAAAAACTCCCCTTGAAGGTGTTGACATTAGTTTGAAGGATCCCAACAACGACCAGGCCAGGGTTAAACTAGGTGTTCTTTATCGAGTTCAGTACCCCTCAGTGACATATCTGGCGTATCTTGGTTTTGGAACCTGGGGCGGCTGGCACCAGGAGCGCAAGATAGATGTTTCTTGTGGTTACGGCAGAGAATATCATAAAAAGCCTTATTATATAAAGAATCCCGCTTTTTGTTATATTCTTGTTCAGTAAAACAGATTGACGTGCTGGCCTGCCTAACGCACACGCTTGTTTTTTGTTGTATCTTTCAGCGTAATGATAGCATTCATTTATTCTTTATTTCAATCTAACAATTTATTTAGGTCCATTGTTAATACATTAATTGCCTGTCAAACAAGTTTTTTAATATGTGAGTCATCAGGTAATCGATTCGTTTGTAAGCCATCATGACTGCCTGATCGATTCGTCTCTTATTAAACCTCCAATAAATCTTAACTGCAGGGAATGATTTGCTTTATTGTTGTGTTTATGTACTCCTAGAATTTTAGTTTGATGTTAAAACTCGGATCATTCTATATTTGCAACATGAAACACTCACGGATCTCTCAAGGGGATCTCTCAAGGATACTGGTCTTCGAGTCTCGATTTTCAAAACGAGTCTCGATTTTCAAAACGTGTCTCGATTTCCATGAACGAGTCTCGATCTCTAACGACATGTCTCCAATTAAGGGAGAGAATAACACATCAAACGAACCGCTTAACTCACATAAGCGGTTCATATTGACTACGACCCCAGGCTTGAATGGCATACCCCTAAACCCGGACTCGGACTCGGACTCGGACTCGGACTCGGACTCGGACTCGGACTCGGACTCGGACTCGGACTAGATGAGTAACATGTAGATGATATATTTTTAACTAGAACTGAAGTTAAGACTTATTAGAAAATTATTTCACGTCTTGGTCAACTAGATCCCACGATTCATACACATCAAGATATTTTCAGTTGGTAAATATTAAAACAGTCTGGCCCTATCTAAAGATCAGCTACTATTACGAATAACGCCAAATGAGTCGTGTCCTGATATTATTTTGTGTAATATTTATCATTTTTATATATATATTTATTTTTTGGTCCTATTATTTATATATGCATTTTATTTTTATTTTATTTTATTTTATTTTTTTGAGTCCGAGTCCGGGTCCGAGTCAGGGTCCGGGTCCGGGTCCGGGACCGGGACCGGGTTTAGGGTTATGCCGGCTTGAATTTCATGAAATAATTGCCTTGAAGAAAGCACGTAATTAGAACTCAAAATCAATCAGTCAAGAAACAAAAATGGTATAATAGTCATTTCAATCTTTCTCCATGACTCACACGGCGAAACTGTCAAAGCAGGATACGGCGCAGATGGTTTCATTTGAATATTGAATATTTTCAAGTTTCAACTATAATATTGAACAGGGCGGTCAATGGAAATCTCATGTGCGAATTGTCAATTGGTTCACTGTTTTATGATGAATGCCGTACTTTACACATCTTTAACTAAGAGGCTTTTGTGACCTAAGATGTAAATTCTGAACGACAAGTCATTCTCTACTTCAATATATTCGTTATCTTCAAAAAGAAAACACTCCCATAAAAATGATGGCGTGAGTTTCGTTTTACTTCTTAGTAAAGATGTTCAAGATGGCCTCTTAAAGTCATACTTTATTGTTGCGAACCTTACTTTATATTCTTTATTATATTTATACTTCAAGTTTAATTTTGGACAAAACGTTTTTTTTTTCTTCTGAATTTTTATCCTATCCTACTCAGTGTAATTCTACAAAAACTAACTAACGAATTTCCAACTCCTCTTTTGCGAGGAGAAAAACCGAAACAGGAGAGGAACWAACTGACCTTACGAGAGTTAATTGAAAACTAAAAGGATCAAGAGGAAACTGACAGAACAAAGCTAAGACGTCGAAGTGACTACATAGTACGTAGTAGGTCTATCGATTTGAACATCGCCTTGACTCAAGTGAGTAAAAGATGGCCGACGCACAGTCTTGTGATCTTTTGAAAGAATGGAGTCTACGCGCGGAGGAGATTTTCCCAAGTACTATTGCAATGTTTGTAGCATTTACGATCATGATCTGGCCTACCATAGTTTTAAACTTTTTGATTATTTTCACGATATACCGTAAACCCTCGCTTCAAAAGCCATCTTTTATTTTTCTTTGTAATCTTGCGATGGCAGATTTAGCAGTGGGAATACTGGCCGTGCCTATAACAACTGCATGGAAGATTGCCGAATTSTACGACGAACAGAAGCTTATCATGTGTAAGCTAGGACAAGGAGTATTTCTCGTCACAAGCGTGTTTACARGTCTTTCGTTATATACGATAACAGCAGCCACAGTGGATCGATTCCTGGCCTTACATTTGCACCTGACTTAYATCGCCATAGTAACGACCAAACGAGTTGTGATYACGTGTGTAGGACTATGGTTGGCAACGATAGTCTYGACATTCGTAGGTTTGATAGGAATATCAATATTTAGGGTGGTCATCATGATAACKAGTATTTCATGCCTGGTGATACTGGTTTATTGTTACTTAAAGATATATCTTATCGTTCGACGTCATCACCAGCAGATCCAAAGTCAAATGGCACAATCCCAAAGTGCTTCTCTTCCGAACATCAAACCATTCAAGAAAACCGTTTTCAACCTTATGTACGTGCTTGGAACAAATATCCTCTCTTATTCACCCTTTATTTGYACGACAGTCGTTCGTGGAATTGTCGGAGATTCAATGGCGATTTTCTTCTYCTGGAACTTATCCATAACACTTATATTTCTGAATTCCGCCATAAATCCATTATTGTATTGTTGGAGACTTGTAGAAATACGTGAGTCTCTCAAGGAAACATTTCACAATGTCTTGATATCTCCAAGATGCATCACTCAAACCATATAAATATATTTTACTATTCACCTTTTCACTTCATTTAGAATCAATGCTGAAAATTTTGAATTACGTGTCACAGGCACTTTAATGCTTTAGCCTTCTACTTAGACGTTCTTAATGCCTGTCATGCGACGTTTCTCAAAGCACTTAAACAAATGAGCATTTATTGAAAATATTACACTAGAGGCACCAAATTAAATTTGTCAAATAAGATAACAAAAACAACGCAAAAAATAAAATAAGAAGGTTGCCATGGCGATGATACAGCTATATTTATATAGACGAAAGCGACTGGTTAATGGTGTCTGAAACCCTCAAATTGATATTAWTGACACATCCTAGAGCACGTTCAATGTTATCAGTATGAAGACTAAGTGAAACATGCAGACACTGAATCAATAATATGACAAGAAGAAACATTTCTACTGGGTTGCCTGTGGCAAACCACGGGGGAATTCCGTTCTATAAAAAAAACGTTTAATTTTGTTCATCCAATAATAACAGCAAAAGTTTTGAACGGATTGTCGTCGATGTGGTGAGACTACACCACTTTGAATACTCGGGTCGTGCTGGACGGACTCGGACTCGGACTCGTTTTGAACGGATTGTCGTCGATGTGGTGAGACTACACCACTTTGAATACTCGGGTCGTGCTGGAKGATGTGATTGGCCGTGTAGTTACCAGTCAACTCAGGTGGCAAACAAAACACAAAACTTTTTAAAAGGGGTGGACTGTCCATGAAATTGTCATTAGAGAGGGTGGCCCATGGTTTTTTTGAGACATGTATATACTTATTTCAATAAAGTTAGTCAACAAAAACCTAGAAAGCTGTGATGGCTGAGAATCATGGGAAATATTTTATATCCAACAAGTAATGATTTTGACTTTGGGGATGCTCAGAGGAGGTGAACTTGTAATTGGTAAAAAATCTCAAGTCCATCAACAGTTATCAAGCGGTTGAAACATGTAAAATGTATCTACCCATAATCCTTGTTGGTCTCAGCTGTGTAGCTTTCCAGGTGTGACTAAATTTCTTGTAAGTGTATGTACACTCGGATAATCATTAACCATGGTCATGGCGCAAKGTATTTAAGATTTTCTCTCAGTGAAAAATGCCCAGGATTTGAGGTATGACATCGGTTCATTTACTTCCTATTTGGTTAAGTTCTGTTTTCAGACTTTCTTATTTAGGGGGCATTAATAGTACCTATTGGTTATGCTTCCCAAGAGTTTCCAGGGATTTTCCAGGTCGGTACGAAGACACTGTAGGATACCACTTCAACAACGGCAAGATCTTTGACGAAGACGATCCAGTTTGTGGCAGACAKGGCGATGGTAAGATTGATACTGGTCACAAAGATCTTGGCCATACACTTGTTGGGTGGTGTAACGGTAGTACACACGCATGTCACCTTTTGGGCAAGCTTGGGCAACACATAACGAGAGTTGAGTGCGTGTCTGAGAGGCGCGATTTTTGAAAAAAGAAAACTCTCAGGTTAAAAGTTTACCATAGGCTACATACAGCATTTGCACAATTGTTGGATCAAGTGAGCCTAGTACTTACCCTTAAGGACGTTCATRTGCATTGCTTTCGCGCATCCTTTCTACGCATGGATTCCCAGGACGCCCCACATGCATTGGGATCCAAGATGCCTGAGAGATTATAGCTACTTGGGTCGTGTGTTCGTACTTATAAAAGTGCATGCGATATATAAGGCAACACTTTTTTCCACACAACCAAATTAATGGCCTTGACCTCAAGTGCTTGGCATTTTTTACTTCAGTCTAGGTATTTTTTTGTTTTGTTTCTGCTTAGCTGTGTTYCGAAAAGAAGACCAACAACTTCCCAATGTACCTCATGGGATAACAGAACAGCTTCACTATCTCATCGCAAAACAAGAAGCCGTGGATCAAAAGCTGGAATTCTTAATACGGAATCTGGAGCAGAAAACTTTAGTATAGGTGTGTGCTAAATTGCTATAAAAAGATATAACTAGCTAAAAACTAGTGTGAGCTGCGTCGGTGTTTACCTTGCTCTCATTGGTTTCTTTTGTCATATTCTATCATATATACACTCCTTTCTACCACTTCTTTCTCTTTTACTCCGACGAAGGACTAGCGTCCGAAACGTCAGTAAGTTTTTTCATCTTTTCAC